AGTGCTTGGGAGAGGGTTGAATAAACCTGAGAACCTCAGGCAGGAAGACCTTTATACCTATAACCCAGACACACTGACAGGTCAGAGGAAAACCCAGCATGACCCAGGACAGAATGAAAGCAGAAGGGCAGAAAGCCGGAGGCATCCTTCAAAGCCTTGAATGATGAAACTTCTGATTCCATAACGCTGGAAGAAAATGAAATAGTACTTCAAAGAAGAACCAATTGTGACAGCAATGGGAGCTGAGACTATCTCACAGTGTCACTACTGGTATTCCCCCCAGTGCACTGCTTGCACCCCAATTTCTAAGTCCCATGACCATCAGTTGCTGATGGCTTTTTACCGCCCCCTTAGTTTTATTTAGTGAGTGCACAAAATGGAGCCAGCAGCAGAACAGTCTTTCAACAATATACAATTATCAAGATGCCTACACCAGCTAGATTACTATCTCCTGCATGTATTTCACAAGCTCATAAAACACCAATGAAAGGAGAAGAAAGTCTGACATATTTATGTGTAAGTGAGATATAACGTTTGGAACAGCAACTGCAAAAATGCAGGCAAAGACTGTATAATCATGACTGGTACCCCCCAGGGGCCAGGGGAAGCAGGAAAGCCTCTGCCTTCTTGGCAAAGTGCTGCACAACAGGCTGCCCTTCTGGGGGCCTGCAGCCAGAAAGGTGGCAACACCCTTCATCAAATCACTGCTGACTCTGACTTCAGGTTTCCTAGCAAAAGAACGGACTAAGGACTGCCCTGACAAGGTACCAGTCTGCTTCATGTGATACTCTGGACATATAAACCTCAAATCATCCCACAGAGATCACCCAGACACATGACTAAAAGCTCTCTGTATGAATGAGCAGTAAGTACAGGCGGCCATGGAAGCACCCAGCACAACATGACTCAGATCTTGATGGGAGGCTCCAGATGCCACTGTAATGCAAATAAAAAAGAATAACCCATGAGTAATCGCCCACTGCTGAAAAGAGAATCCCTGACAGCTCAGCCTGTTTCTGTAATATTGCGCATGCATTCTTTTGCATAAGTATCATAAGGTCCATTAACCTGTGAGAAAATCAACAGGAAGAAATCCTGCTTGCAGTCACTCACCAGGGAAATCTTACCTTCCAAGGCAAGAAGAGGCTCGGGAAAGAGCACCAACCTGAGTAGGAGGCTAGAGGAGAGGATTAGAAAGGAGATAGTAATACTTCTTAGATTCTACAATGTAATATTGATCTGCTGTCTACAGCAATGGCTAAGACTTCTTGATGCTGAGGACATGGAGACAAGTGAGGACAAAGAGCCACTTGTCCATGGAACACAGGAGATGGCATACAGGTCCTATGTCTCACTTCTGACCCAAGAGCTAGCAAAAACTGCATTTCTAGCATCCTGGACCAGCAAATCTGGGAACTACACAACAGCCTTAAAAGAGTACACAGCCCACACATCACAGTAGGAAAGGTTAAACACATCCAGTAAGACTGAGCAGCACTCAGCAACAGCCAGAGACTGAGAAAAGGTAACACTAGGCAAGGAGGGGAACTTACCGAGCTACACTAGGATTAGAAAGAAGAGTTAAGAGAGGAGATTGAATAAACCATCTTGCAAGAACCTTGGGGCAGGGAGATGGGTTGAACTGGGGATGTATGTCTTGAGAAATAATAGAAGTCTCCTTGGATGGAACAGTTCAAGCCAGACTGCCCTGACACAAGTAAATAAACAGTACACAGAGCCACTGGTGCAGAGGTCGATCTTTTTCATCTCAGAATACAGGAGATGAGATACTGCTGGAGTTTTCCCACTTGGTTCCACTCCAAACAGCTATACACACCTTGTTTGATAGTTATCACAAACCATATTTCAGGGAGGGTGGACAGCAAAAATTTCCTGGAGTTTATCTGGCTACATCGTTAAGGAGATTGTTACCAGATAATCATAATCTTTTGCTCAGCATTAGGAAAGTACACAAAGGATCACCTTCTGTCACCCCTGACAAACAGCCACATCTGGGTTATGGGAAGGGAAATACTCACAGGAATGCTGAAAATAATCTCACCTCAACCTTCCCATCATGATATCACCAAGTGATAACCTCCTTTCAACCACTGTCCAGGACTTCAAGTTTAACAGCTCCATCAGAACCATGGCATCTGATCAGCTGTGGTCCTGGAGGATTTCTGTTTCCATTGACTGTCTCCAAACCAGCCAAAGCCTGAAGGCACAACTGTGGCACCCAAATCTGGGTTAACAATATAGACATGATATACTGCTTTGGAGTAAGTAAGTGCTTGCATGTAGCAGTTTCTAGTGAACAGCAATGTGAAGTTCTTTTACAAAGGGCTGGACATAACAGATTTTAAAGTACTGCCCTACTCAAAAGGCAACTCTAAAATCATCAATTAGCCCAGGGTTCCAGGTTTACTCATGCAGGAATCTTCAGAAAATACCTGCCTAATTCAGTTACTTGGTTTTAAAACTGCAGCTGAAGTCTGAGAAACAAGCTGGGAGCCTTCCTCCTTAGGCATGACCATCAAAAGCAAAGTAAGTATTTTGCCAGCCATGTCAGCTTTTGTGAGATTTCTGTGTTATGCCTTTAACACCACCAAAAGTATCACATGGTCTTCAGAAGATTTATGTAACTAAAGGTGACCATTTTTAGCGGGACTCACAGAAAGGCATAAAAATTTGCCTCACATGTGGGCAACAACTCTACCATGTACAGAGGTCTTACTTCTTACGTAGCAAAGATGAACTTGTAAGGTTCAGGGACTCAGTTCAAAGTCCTCAGACCACCCTGGGAAACAACACAATCATAGCTCTTCTTTTAGCAAGAATGAGCCCAAATCATCCCTTGGCACCAAGTTAGGTAAGAGATCTTCACAGAAGAAAGTACTAAATGGTGGCCAACTTATCAAAGTTCAGTCTCCCTAACATTGAGCCAGACACTGAAGGAAGAACAACTGGGGACCTTCAACCATAATACACTTTACAAAATGTTAAATGGCAGATATATAACAAAACTGTGTGACACTCATACTTTCGCTGCTATGCCTCGAGTCCATTTTACAGAAACCTGTCAAATGCAATCAGATTTGTTTATTCCACATTTAAATGTAGGACCTGAGGCAGTCTGGTTTCAAAAAAAGACAGAAAAGGCACATATTGTCCCTGGCAGTTGCTTGTTTCTTACAACAAAGGCAATGCCTTGTTCAGTCTTTATTCCAAATAAAAATTATTTCAATGCTCTGCTACATTACAGTCTTGAAAACCTTTCTGCTTGCTGCCTCAGCACAGGTAGAAATTTAGTTAAAATGGAAATTAAAGGAAGAAATAAAGAAACGGAGTGTCATTAACACACAATTCCCACCCTCCTTCCCCCCCAACATCAGGTGATTCATACAGAGCATCTTCAAATCTCACATAAGCCACTGATAATGGATTAAGTAGCAGTGTCCCTTCTGGCTCCAGTTTATAAATTCTTATCTGCTTAAGGTTGCTCCATAAAGACTTCCAGCTGACAGCATGATTCTTAAAGAGACAAATCCTCCCTGGCAGTTTACAATTGCATACCAACTATTACAGCATTGCATGTGCCTTCATGTTTGCATTGATAGAGGATGATGGTTCACTGGTTATAGTTCAGCATCCCCCTCCTTGCAAGTGTAATTTTAAGCAGAGCCATTGCCTGGGCTGAGTTTCTGACCGGCTTTGCCCATGACAGAGCAGTGAGCATTCCTCATGTCTCCGTGTATGGCCATTAAAACAGCCATGATATAATCATCCTCAGTTCGCACAACTGTTCCAAATCATCCAAGTACAGACGAAGGGAGCAGAGAGTTGTAACAGAAGAATAATGCAAGTATCAGAAAATCCTTCAGTATAACAACCAGTTCCCCAGCTCATCATTAACCATTTCCACTCCCCTAGACTATGCCAAAGAAGTATCCAAAAGCTCAGTAACAATGAGGGTGAAAAGCACCATCCGTATTTTCCACGCTGGTGGCTGCAAATTCTGCAACACACAAGGGAAGCTGCAACAAGTTATGATCTGAAATGGCTGTGGGAGCAGCACCTTCCCTCATTCCCTGCTTACAGAGAGATGTCTGACATCCGCTATTCCCCATCATCCAGTGCCTTTGGCTGTGAAAATGAGCCTAATGAAGGGGAACCCAGGTAGTGTTGAACACACATGGTGTGTCCTGCTGCCCAAGGAACGATGGGTTGCTTTCTGCTACCACCCTCCCAGCTTATGGCAAAAGGGGGTTAAAAAGGTCAGGGATAGAAGAAACCTTGGGCAGCCTCTCCTATTCACATTACAGAAGTCACCCCCATCCCATTTGGTCCCAACAGGTTCCCAGGATTTCAGAAAACAGATTTCATCCTTGTGAGGAACAGAACAGCCACATATGGTGGTCAAGGAGCCCCAAATACTCCCTGCTCTCCTCCAAACAGGACTGACAGTGCCATGCACACACATTCCTGGGGCACCCAGAATAAATACCAAAGCAAAGCCTTCATTCACCGATAAACACTTGGGGATTCTCTGGTGGTCCAACTCCTCTGACTTGTTGTCCCTTGCTTTCCCGGGGCAACTCTGCCTGGAAAGACCTGTGCACCAATCAGCCACCCATGGGGCACTGCCAGGGAAGAAGCGACAGTGCTGGGAGCATGGCAGTGGGCTCGCACCGCGAGAGGGCACGGGGTGCAGGCATGGAGCCATCCCACCCCGGGGTGTCCAGGGAGCCCAGTCTGTCTCAAGGTGTCCGGAATGCCTGTCCATGGTGGGGTACTCAGGGTACTACAAGCACCCCTGGGGTACTCAGGATCTGGGTGCCCATCCCAGCTCGGGGTGTCCGGAGCACCCATCCCCCTCTGGGCTGCACGGGTTCCTCAGATACCCGGGGATACCGCGGGTGCTCGTCTTGACGGGGACGCTCAGGGTGCCGGGGATGCCGGAGGTGCCCGCGGTGCCGGGGGCGCTGACCGAGCCGTACCTTTGAGGCGGTGGTGGCGGGCGCGGTGCAGGCGGCCCTGGCCGCCGCGGGGCAGCGCGGGGATGCTGGAGAAGCGGCTCCCCATGGCGGCATCCGAGCCGGGCCGGGCCGGGCGGCACCGCGCGGGGTCTTTCCCCGGGAGCTGCGGCGGCGAGGGCGGAGGGCACCGCTCGCTCCGAGCGCTCCGAGAGCCGCGGTCCCGCCCGCCGGGCCCCCCGCCCCGCGCCGCCGCCGCCCTGCGCTCGGTCCGCGGCCGCTCGGTGCGGCGGGGCGGGGCGGTGGCTCCGCGGCCCCCCCGCCGCGCCCCGTCGCCATGGAGACAGATGTGCCGCCCCCGCGGGGGGGGACGCGCCGCCGCGCGCCGCCCAGATGTGGCACCGCTGGCGCGACAGGTGGGGGCACGCGGAGACTCCCCCGACCCCTCCCCGCACCACCTCGGTCCGGATGCCCAGAAGGACGCACTCCGAGGGGCAGACGCGGGGTCAGGGACATTTTTGCCCTCCGTTGCCTCCCCGGGACGATGCTGGGCTGGACCTCCCTCACACCTGCTGGCCCTAAACCGGTTTCCCCAGGGCCAGCCCAGCACCCTCCCAGCAAGGAAATCCGTGGCTAACCCTAGAATTCAAGCCCTTCAAGGAAGCTGCATCATGCAAGAGCACCCACCCAACCAGACCTGCTATGCTGGGACACAATTGTCCTAAAGCAATTAGGATTCTCTTGGATGCAAATATGTCAGAGCAGCACTCGGGAAGGCAAAGTGGGTGGGCAAGCAGCTCCTTGCCCTGTCCTAGGGCAAGTGGATGAGCAGGCAGATAATCAGAGGGACGAGTAGATTCCTTACTGGTCCCCAACCTACCCTACTTTACTTACACCAGTGGCTTAAAGCAGTGAGGAGCTCCAGTCAAGCTCAGGGAAGTGGGGTTGGGAGAAACGGGCTGAAGAGAAACACTTTGCTGGCAGATCTCCTATGAAGGGTCAGGAGCTCATACTGGTGGAGGGTCAGCATGGGGCACTGCTTGCACAGATGGCTTCTGAAAACTGCTGCAACATAAACACATCCCACACAAACTGGGACTGCCCTGTGTGGCTTTAGCCCTCTGTGCAGAGATGAGCCTCTGCACAGCTCCATATTCAAGAACACCCGTGCCTCAGACACAAACTCACTCATACCTGCACAGGGCAGGTCCACATGGCTCACTTTCTTGCCCTGAGAAAGAAGGTCCTGTGTTAACACCACACCTGTCCACTACCTGTCCATTATGGAGCCGCCCAGGCCAGTGAGTTGCTCCACGAAAGCATCCAGGACCATACAGGGTAGTGAGGTTCCCCTTTTCCTCACCTCAGCTGCAGGGGAATTTCTGCTGTGATTTGCACAACCCAAGTCCTGAAGGAGTTCCATTGGTACCACAGTAAAATCAATCCACAGCTGATGTTGTCTATTACATAACCCTTTTTCTTTTTCTGAAGGTTCTGGAGTCATGGTTGCAAGCTTCATCTAGAGTTTCAGTGAATGCTGAAGGCTGAGGGCAGCTGCAGTTCAGTTATGTCAAGGCTGTAAAATGTCTTTTTCCTTCCTTCTGTTGAACAAAAATGTAATGTTCAGCTTACTTCCAAAAGATGATTTTGTCCATCTATCCATTCACCTCCACCCTCCACTTTCCTTCCTCCTATTAAATGTAAAAAAATCTTGTTCTGGTCAGGGACCACATATGAACATTTTCACCCTGAAAACAACTACTGCTGCAATTTTCCCCATCAGAGAGCCAAGAGACACCCTGTTCTCTGAAGCCACTCAAGTACCTAACTTTCAGAGGTGAAGGGGAAGGTTATTTCTGAGGTTAAATAACAAGATTTGATGAGAAATACTGAAAATCTCGACCAAAATCTGATGCTGAAATCCAGATGATGATTTCTTTTGGGATGTGTGATGCAGGGGGCCAGGCTGAGGATTCATTACTGTCCTGCCCAGCCTTCTATTGTATTATGGGTGAGATGTGCACCATGTTTTTGCATCCTTTCTCATTGTCTCAAAAGTAGAAAGGGATGACCACACCAGTCAGAGTGCTGCCATGGTAATGTGGGGTTGAACTCCTGCTTGAAAACAAGCCTTCTGTGTTCAGTCCTGCCAGTGTATTGGGTCCTGCTTTAGCCCCATGATAAATCCACCAACTGCCTCCACATGCAGGAAGCTCATGAGCTGAGGTGGGCCAGAGATTGAGACGGAGTCGCATCTTTATTTATATCCTTTGTGAACACTGTATTTCCAGGCAGCTCATTACAATGAACCCACAAAGAAACACAGGACTGGAATGACCCTTAGATGGGCAACTCTTGCTCCTCATCATACAATATCTTTCATCCTGCTGAAACTAATTGTCTTCAACAAACAAACAAACAAACAAAAACCAAACCTGTTCTTTCTCTATTCCTTTTCTCTAATCTCTCTCTCTGCTTGTCCTTGAATTGCAAGAGGTCTTGAGTAAGGAAACTTCATGTTTAATGTGGCAGAAAGAGGTGTCAGCATAAGGCAAATTTATAATGGAAAGAGGCATGTTTCCATGGTATAAAATGGAGAAAGGAAAAGCTACCAGAATTTTAGACTGGAGGCATAGGGGACATCCATATAATATCACAGGAAACATTTCTGTGCAGTCATCCATTAAATGACAGGCACTCACGCGTGCATCATGCACGCTGCTCACTATACCTTGTGTGATACCTCACCACGTGGTACACCCGCTCCCAGAAGAAATTTCTGTTTTCTGCTTCCACCAAATCTTCTCTGAATTTTAGACACCAGTCACCACTTTAACTTTGGTACCATAGTGTTTTTAACTATACCCCAAAGGCTGATGGATTATGTGCTCAACCAGCTCTTTTTTCACCTTGGAGAACCAAGGTAAAACATTGTTACATCAGTGAAAGGAGGAAGCCTTATAGATCTGCTTTAGCAACATGTTCAGCTTCCATAGGGATGGGCTTTGCTTTGCCTGACACAGCAGCCTGCAGTTCACACCGTGGGGAAGAATGCAAAACAGCACCAAGGGTTTGCTATGATTGTATCTTGGTTCACTTTATCAGAGTCCTTGAATTTGCTCCTGACACTGGTTGGAGAAGGAGTGAGAAGAAAGGGCTGCTTGCTGTCCTTGCCAACTTATGTCAGCTCTTCCTGAAAAAAATGTTGAGCAGGGTGAGAAATATGCTCTGTGATCACAGGGGCCCTTGATAGACAAAACAGGATCACACTGATTCTGGCTGGGGTTTTGCCTTTTTCCTGTGCTCTAGCAACAGAGAGCACTGAAACAGCTTGCTAAAACTGCAAGGCTTTCACACCATCAAGTCAGGAAATTCCTTCTTTCTTAGTATTAGTGATATCAATTGAATTGGCTAATTAGGTACATTCAATTTCTTGGTACTGACTCTGTCAGGTAGTGGGGGTCTGGTAAAGAGCTTGCGGTATGACAGAGCAGAATGAGTTTGCACTAAGAGTTAAAACTCCTCTCCACCTTCTGAATTTGTGCATGGGCACCTGCCTACCAATTTGTACTTTATGTTTAGAAGTCAGTGGAGAAAATGCAGCCTCTCCATGAACCTCATCTGAAGTTATTATCAGCTCCAGGAAAAGTTCTAACATCATAATTATCATTATGAGCAAACACAAGGAGAAAGGCACTGAACAGTCACATCTGCTCATGGAACAACATCTACTGCTTTAAGTCAAGAAACCACCCATCAATTCTCTACCCAAAAGCTGAGTGCAAGGATGAACTCCAGCTGTTCAGCTCAAGCATATGTGGAAGAGGAGAGAGATGGGATGTGGAGGAGGATTTCTGAGACAGCTGGAGGGGAGGGTCTATGTGCAAAAAGAGCTTGCTGGGTGATGGCTGGGCAGACTGCAAGGTTTGGTACACAGAGATGCTTTCAGACTGCCAAGGGAGCAAGACCATACGAGTGCATTTGCATCTAAGGACTCTGGGTATTTTGCAAAGATCACCAACTCTGAAGTGCTATGCAGCAACAAAGCAAATGTAGTTAAAAATTCCTTTTGCAAAGGCTGTGTTTGTGCTTTCTAAGTACATCATCCCTCAAGGGCTTACACAAGAAATCAGGTAACCACAAACAAGATATAATTATGAAGAATCACAAGAACATGAAGCATGAGCTACCATTGCTTGAGTTGTGGGCAAACACATGTCAGAATTTACACCCTGAGAGGATGCTCAGAGTAGGAGGTGTGATCCAGGGAATAAGTGGCACAGGATAAAACACAAGGCAGTAAGTGGACACTAGCCAGGTCCTTTTGGCTTTGGCACTGATGGGGTCCAGCAGCCTGGACCGCTCACTGATACACATACGAATGAGTGTGCTAAGAAATTGGACTTACGATGGCCTGACCACCTATTACACACCTTATGAACATCAATCTCAATAATCCAAAGTAGTGAATGCTTTCCTCATTCTTCCTGTTTTCCTCCATCTCCAGATGGAGACACTGAGGGAACAAGCTGATTTGGTATATGTGGCACTTAAAGCAGCAAAGGGACTGAGGATGGGAATATGCCATATGTCCCTTCCAGAGCAAGGTTTGATCCTCTGGGCCCTGCTGATTTCACATACCCATTAACATAATTCTTTACCTTATATATCGAAGAAGAATCTCAAATTGCTTGCTTTGCTGTAATTAAATACCTGGCACCAGAACTTCAACAGATGTGGAAGAAAAAGACACACCTATCCATGAAATGAGCAGATCTGCATGCTGCAGGGAGAAAAGATCATCTGGGAGATATTCATTGCACCTAATTGTTGGGCTAATATCCTAATTTATGTATTTTTAATTGCCAGAATGACAGTGGCATTCTTGATGTGGCATGCATCACCCAAAAATGAAATACCCTGCAGCCACTCAGAAGGGTTTGCTCCCATTGCTGTCACCTCTGCAACCAAGGTAGAGTTGGATATAAGACTGAGATGGGACAGAAGCAAATTCAGCATTATGAATTAAAATAGGACAGGATGACAAGGGTCCATTTTCAGTCACAGGTGAACACCTTCTTTCCTGTGGGTTTCTGTGTCTAACAGGCCAACAGATTTCACAGCAGCAACCAACAGATTCTGCAAAGATACTTCTAGAAATATTAGGTTAAAGTGAAGAAAGGAGAAAAGATCTGTAGATTTAAAGCCTCATGAACATTTATAAAATGCTTAGTCTTAGACAGTAGTCAACA